TCAAAAATATTAAATATCTGGAAAGTGGTGCTAACAATTTACGTGATGCAGTTTACTTGATCTCAGATGTTTGTAGTAGTAATCCTGTGGCAGATGCAGATTATGGTGTTTTTGGGCACAGACTAGTTCTTTATACATGTAAAGATTTTAGGTTGACACAAGCATGGCTCAGTTATACAATAGTTACGAATTTCTTGGTGTGATTCTGGTATGAAGATGAAGCCTTAAAAGGACGAGCAAAATGTCAAATGCGCTTTAATTTGTTCCTGGATCATAAACAATGAGAACTAGTTTCACCTGTTGTCAATCTAAACGTGGCTTTGTAAGAGTCTTGGTGGTCTTTCCAAGCTGCACTGCACACATTCTCTAACCTGTTGACAGTGAAGAACCTTAAGGAAAGAGCAGCTGGTCCTTTCAGTTTTCATAACCCTCAAAAGCTTATTTACATGTTTTAAAGTTTATTTACATTTTCTGTGTGGGCATATGCTTATGTCTGTCAGCATTTATTCATAAAGAGCAGATCAGACCCTTGGATTGACTTCTTAAAATCTGGCCTTCAGTGCCTACCCTTTCAAATGTTGTTGTGCCTCCATTCCCATGAATCCTAGGAAGCACAAGTATAAATATAATCTTTAATGAAAATACAGATCCTAAGTAGTTTAATTGTTACTGTAAGATCATTGGAGCCTACATTTCTTGGTACTGTTACTATATTAAGTTCTGGTAACTTTAACAAAGCTTTGTTTATTAGTTTAAGTTAAATCCAGTAAAATTGCTTTGTCTCCTTGCTATTCTAGATTCAGGGAAGAATGTTCATCTGTTTGTAATGGCAGAGTATCATAAACAAAGTTGTCTGATTTGTTTTAAATTTGGAGAGTAATCATACTTCTGTTCAGCCGCTGACAAGCATAAGGTTTGTATGGTTTTCAATTTTTGTGCAAGTATAGAAGTACATATGGGTGATACTGGGGAATAAAATGTGTTTGCAGTGGAAAAATACTTGCCAGATTTTTCCCTGTGTGGAAGGACTACTGCTGCTCCGTGATAATGAGAAAGTTGTAGCTATTTTAAGACTATGATGGAGTATGTTTTTGAATTGTTCATGGCAATATTACTTTGGGAAGTTGCCAGAAGCTGCTTCTACAATTTGACAGAAAAAGAAATAATATTATAAAAGGAAATATTTCACGTTCATTTTAAATGTTTTTGAAAACTTGTTTGCTCTTTTGATATAGAGGAGTACGCTTCTAGGGTGTGTCCTTGTTTTGATGGGTACTTTTAAATCAGAACTTAATCTTGTCTGTTGCCTGAAGATCACAGAAGCATAGAGAATTCAGGTTGGAAGGGACTTCAGGAGGTCTCTAGTTCAACTCCTTCCTCAAAGCAGGATCAGACCCAGTTGCTCAAAGCTTTATTCAGCTGGGTCTTAAAAACCTCTGAGGATGGAGACTGCAACCTCCCTGGCCCCTGTTTTCACTGCCTGACTGCCCTTACGGTGCAAAACTAGGGATATTTTTTTTTTTTTTCCCCTAAATCAAGCTGGAATCTAGTTTGTTTTGGTTTCTGTTGTGTCTTGTCCTCTCAACGCTCACCACTTTGAGGACCCTGGCGCTCTCTTCTCAGTGACCACCTCAAAGGTACTGGTGGGCAGCTGTGAGGTCCCGCTGGAGCTGTCTCCTTCAGGCTGGACGATTCCCAGCTACCTCAGCCTCTCGTTACGGGGCAGGCGCTCCAGGTCCGGGTCCTCTTGGTGGCCCTCTGCTGAACTCGCTGCCGTTTATCGATGCCTGTCCTGTACTGAGGTCCAAAAGCGGACACTGTTCTAAATGCTGTCTAATGGCTGTTCTATAATGTAAAGTTTAATTCCTTGACCGTAGTTTACTCCCAGAAATCAGGAAAATGTGGGTGGTTATAAATATGCTTATTAGAATTTGGGTTTTTAAAGTGTGATTGGATTTCAAAGCAAAATATAGGCAGCATGAAAAGAGATCTTCCACTTACATACTGATGAAATAACTTGCATTAATTGTAGTGAAAATGTTTGATGGATTTAAAAAAAAAATCTGACAGATAACACCTTACCTTTAATACATATTTATTCAACTTAATTAGCTCTGAATAAGTCTAATTTGCATCATGAAAGTGTTGGAAATGAAACAGAGTAGTTGGTTGTAATTCTATAATGAAGTATTCTATAGAAGTTGAAGTCAGTGAGTGGATTCATTCTCACTGTAAAGTGTGTTTAAAGAAATGAGTCTCATGGAGAGTGGGGGAATTTTACATGAAGTAGACTTAGATACACAGAAACACGCACGCAGAGGTCTGCTGCAAGCGCTGCGCAGACATCTTGTTTGTTTGAAGTGGCCTAGTGAGGTGGCAGCGTGGGGGGGAGGCGAGCTCTGTCCCGCTGTATTGCCAGGTTCTACAAAGAGAAATTTTTCTGAGAATCCGAAAGCATCTCTGCGTATTCCTTTTAATTTACACTGAAGTTTGGAAAAGTTAGAGTCAGTGTTCTGGAGTCAGGTGATTATTATTATTATAGAATCATAACTCGCCTCGTGTAAGGCTACAGTTCAGCCAAAACTTAGTGAATGTGCAGTAAGGGAGGAAATAATGTAGAAGCAAAGGAGGAAGCAGAAGGCTTTTAAAACACTTCATCCTGTTCCCTGTGTGAGCAGCAGAAGTATGCTACGATTGGAGGTAGTATTGAAAGGCATCAGGAACATCCAGACGAGCTTTTCTTCTTGCGAGCTGAGGCGGTGGGTTGGCACCGAGGTGAGTGTCCGGGATGCAGGGTGGGCTCGTGTGACCTCTGCTGAAATTTGTCTTTCTGTGGCTTCGCTGGCCGTGCAGCTACGGTTGCAAGATCAACAGCTGGCTTGGATGTGCCTGTACCTGCTGCAGTCAAAATTTCCATTTTGCAGTGCAGATCTCCTCAGGGTTGCCACATCTTCTAAAAGTCGCTTTTCTAGGGCTTGTTTATGCTCACTTGTCTCTCATGGTTGGTGCAGGCTTAATTTAAATTTCTGTGAGCTCTAGTTAAAACCACTTTCTATGTTGACATGGAAAAACTGGGGCTGCTGTGCCTTTGTCTCTGTCTCACCTGGTATTTCTCACATAACATATGAACAAAAACCACTTCATATGGAAAACATTTTAAAACAAGCTTCTGAGTAAATATACCTTTTACCTTTAAATATCTGGTTATTAGAAAACTTAAGCTTCTGTAAATTAAGGAAAGTAATCTGAACAAATATTGGATATTCACAAGTTAACATAGTAATATAGAAAAAGATAAATCTATCTTAAGTTTTGTAGTATGTAAGATATTGCAAGGAAGGAAAAACTGAAAATATCTTCTCAATTTTGTGGTCAAAACATTAGTCTCCAGTGTTGCAGTAGTTTTTCTGTGGAGGGTAGTTTGAAAGAACAATGATTTAATGTTGATTGCTAATAGCTTTTCATTTAAATTATTGGTGTTGCACTAAAATTAGTTCAGGACCCCTCTGTTTCAGTGTTTGGAGAAAGCTGAGACTGCCGGCGACCTAGAAAGGAAGTAATACCTCCGTGTGACAGGGTCACTCAGGCTCTGCGGCATTCAAAGGCATATTTCTTCATATTTCAACTTAATGCAGGTTCTTCTTTTTTTTTTTTTTTTTTTGTTGGGGAGTGTGATTTTTATACTGATAAGCTATATCACTGAATATTACAGTTTTAAACACAGTGTCAGGTTTCCTATGTTTTCTTTGAGACATGGAAGACTTGGGCACTGTGAGGAGGTAACAAACCTGTAGAACTTCAGGTCGTGGTTTTCTACCTTCTTCCTGCCCAGACACATTCCTGTATTGTTATAGTAACTTCAAAGCATTTTGAATCTTGCAGTTTAACGTGTTGCTATCGCTTGTGAGGGCTGTTGCAGCGTCACTGTGAGCCCACTGTTACGCGGGAGCGTGGGCTGATGTGTCACGGTGCAGAGAGATCTGGGCAAACTTTTTCCACTGTTGAGAGGGGAGGGAAAGTGCTTATTTAAGGCTTCCATGTTTCATTTATGGAATAGAAACAAAGATTGTGTGGCCTGTAATCACTCCACACCACCCCCCCCACCACCCCCCAAACAAACAAACAAACAAAAATGCTTCAGGATTGCTGTGCGGTGTCATATCGGCTTGATGAAGGGTGTGTGACTAGTGAAAGGGAAGTATAATTTGGTACGAAGTTACTCTTTGGAGTGACTTCAAGCATGAGTGTTTTCCCGATGTTGGTTGTAGCGATCCCTTGTGCAACGCCAGGAATGATTAAGATGATGAATCCTGTATCATGCGATTCTGTCTTTAATCAATAACATTTGGGAAAAAAAAAAATCTTTTTCCTTTGACCGTATCAAAGCTATTCAGACCAGAAGGCTGGACACTCCCCCTTCTGGTGTGCTAACTGAAGTTTCAATTTAGGAAATGGGGGATTGTTTTTAAATGTAGAAGTACTGTGGAACTCCTGCTTTTTCCTTCTCTCCCTTTTTTTTTAAACTTGAAACACTTGGGTGTATTAATATGCTTGTGATTTCAAGAGCTATGCAATAATTTTCTAGTTTGTTCCTGTCTTCCTAAATGAAAAGTCTTAATACAAATGCTCCAAGTAGATTGCATTTCATAGTATGTGTGTCCTGTTGCTTAAAACAAACACTCTAATATCTGTTGACTGAACTAATAATAGTATTCAAACAACTGAATTCCAAAATACAGCTTGAGTCAGAAAATTCCTTATAATAAGAACCAATCCCAGAGCTAGTAATGAATTTCTTGTTAGATTTGGATGCATTTAAATAGTGACCTTCAATTACAAGGTGTTGTGTAATTTTTGAAATTAACAGTAACGTGCAAAACATTCTTGGAAGCTCTTGATGTCTACCTGTGGACCTCCAAAGTCTAAAACCTCTCCTGTAAATAGTATGTAGTCCAGGAGGAAGTTTAAGTCTCCAATTTGTGCTTTCTCACCAGATACCCAGTATGGCCTCATCATCAACACCTAAATATAATTCAAACTCCTTGGAGAGTTCCTCAATTAAAAGGGTGAGTGTAACTTTTTTCATGGGTTTTTTTATGTCAGAGGTCCCAGAGATCCTTGTCTTCCATATTTGGGTAGAAAAATAAGTATTTGAATTACTTTTTTTCTTGAATGTGTATACTTATTTTTATTGCTAAAATTCTAATGCAGTTAACTGAGTTTGTTTAAATGTCTTTCAGAGTAGAAGGACGAAATATTCTCTGTATCAGAAGTTTTGAGAGCCTCCTTAAAATCAGTTCTAATATACTTACTCTTATCCTTGCTTTCTACATTGAAATATTCTGTGGCATTCTTGAAAATTTTTGGCACTTTGATGCTGTAGAAAGATTCTGTACTGCAATTGATAAGTTATACCTAGTAATGTTTGGCTGGCTCAGTTTTAAAATGTTCATCTATAGTGGGAAATACATTAAAGCAATCTAAATGGTATTCCCCTCTCCTTTTTGATGATGCTTGGCTGAAGAAAATGTAACCTTGTGTGCAAGAAAACATAAACTAAGGTTTTATTTAGCTTTTTAAACATTTCTTCAAAAGCAAAGATTATTTTCTATTAATCGTTCTTAAAAACCGCTCAATGTGGAAAAGTCACAAATGAGTAGATTGTGTTTAATAGTTGTGAGTATGTTGCTTGAGTGATTTTGGTTGATTTGTTCTTCCAAGCCCAGCATACTTGGAAAATTAAATGCCCAAAACTTTCAGAGAACTTACAGTATGGAAATTTAAGTCCAATTTAACGCAAATATAGTTAGCTATTCTTTTAGAAGGAGAAATACTAAAACATGCTTATGTTTCAGATCTGTTCAACCTTTAAATGTTTAATAATTACAGTTTAGGATGGTGATGTGAGTTCCTGTTTTGCTTCAGTCTGTCCATTTCTACCATGGAAAAACCTGTTCTTTCCCATGCAGAAATTACCTTTAAGATTTTTTTTTTTTAAATCTAGAACTTGAAGGAACTGTAAATAAAATGCAATGTGCTGTTGTACTTTCTTTAGACTCTGAAAGATGGAACGAACTGGGAACAAAATGAAGAAATACCTCGTCTGCCAGGAGAGACTAGAGTTACAGGTATGAAGCTATAGAGCTGCCTAATGCAGTGAATGTTGAGGAATCTGGCATATACATGTATCTTACTGGGTTGTTTCATAACTTGGACTGGTTTGGGCTGGGGGCGGGAGTAAGTCATGCTAAAATGTTATAAATTTTTTAATTGCAATAGGGACTTTTTATAATTTATCACAAATAACTTTTTAGGTTTTTAAAATCTTAGTTTCCGCACATGGCAGGTCCTCCAATACAAAGAAATTGCAAGTCAAGATGTGTCATAATTGTATCTACAGACTAAGTAGCACGTGTCTAGTGATGAGAGCCCCTCCAAGCTTTCCGAAGTCAAGAGAATTCTGCGTGCCACCCACTATGTATTGATACCTTGTACAATAATGTGGAACCTTAGCCCAAACTGTGACTACCCTAAGTACGATCTTACGCTTCCTTGACGCAACATGGCATGCATGTAGCTACTGTGCACTTGTTAGCCTTTACATACAGTAATGTTGTAGCATAAGGAAGATTAATGTGTGGTGTACAGTGGTTTCTTACTTGATGGAGGCTCTTCCTGGAATGGAGCCTTCCACTCACGGAGGTTTGTGTTGAGGTATCGGAATGCAACTGAAAATGGTCTGTCTTTTATTTGTGAAGCTTCTCCTTCCGCCCTGCCCAAGGATTTGTTAGGTGGGTTTGTAAAGAAGATTGGCTTAGGTAAAACCAAAGTGGTGATTCAGAGGAAGTAGTTATGTTTTTAATGAGGAAAGTTGTAGGGAAGGCATGAGGGAGAGGGTGTTGGGAATAAGATGAATGTTTGATATGAACCTTATGAAAATTGTCTGTGATTTGGGGCAGCACGCTGGAAGGAAGGTGCTTGTGGAAGGCAGATAAATAGATTAGGCTAAAGAAATGAGTGGACAGGGAGAAGTAGGTGGTTTGTAGTGGTTCACTTAAGTCTTTAACAGCATTGCTTCAGTTAAATTTTTCTTTTTTGAGTAGTATGTTAGTACTCATTTTGTTACTGTCCTTGCTGAAACACTGCTGATGGCCCTGCTGTATTTGATTGCCTCAAATTGAAATGTAATATTTCTCTTCAGGATGGTGAGTTCCCTAAACACTTTACAACTTGAACTACGTACTTCAATGCCGAATTGGTTACAAAGCACTGAAAGATGTAATAGTATCAACAGAAGAACGTATTTGTTCTGGGATAGTGAATAGGCTGTTTCAGTAATCACACAGAGGACTTAAATCTGCTTGCTGTTCTATGTCCTGCCCTCTCCCGCGAAGTGCCAAGAAAGAGATGAACACAAATATAACTAGGGAAGGCTACTGAAATCTGCTGATTTAATTTGGGCGAGTTTAGTATATGAAACTTTCACATTTTCTTAATAATTCAAGTGGACAAAGTTCAGATTTATTACTTCTTAAATTAATTCATCTCAGAGTGGCTCCTATGAGTGAAGCTGTCTTTATTTTACTGCTACTTAACTGATGCTGTCCTTAGCTCTGATCTTTTCTTTTCGCAATCTTTAAGAAATGCTGCATTTCTTACAGACAAGGATGTTATTTATATGTGTCCTTTTAATGGCCCCGTTAAAGGAAGAGTGTACATCACAAACTACCGTCTGTACCTAAGAAGTGTGGAAAATGTGAGTAATATGCCACAGTTACTTCCATGGGATGAGCTGGCTTTAAACCCCCTTCCCTTCACCTCCACTGCCTTTGATTTATTTTGTGACCAGTTCATTTGTTTTAGTTTTGGCACGCATATGCTTGTGGAATTGCATAGGAGGCTTTTTACTTGAAATGGTCTGTAATGTTTGCAATAACCATATCTTAATTGTGCAGTGACTAAATAGTAATTGCCTTTGTGCCACTGAGAGATCCGTGTAAAAATGGAAGTTCTTTAAAGTCAAATGTGCTGTAAAAGTGTGATTTTTGCCAAATTTAATTTTGATTAAATTGCAGTTTAATCACTTACACTGAACTGATACCTTTACCTTTTGTCTGCTGGAGCTTTTTTGATAGCTGCTCCCTTTACTCTTATTTTATGATAGATCAAAGGCAGCAACTAATGATGTGCAATAGTTCTCAAAATGGCTATCAGTAAACAAAGATTTTGATTGTCCTTGCTGTTGGAAAAGATAAACACTTTGATCAACAGAACCTCATGTGTGTGGGGGGAGTATTAGTGTGTTCGATAAGCAGCAACATGAAAGAGAGTAAAATGCACTTGTTATCTGTTTCTTAAGATGTTGGTGTTTTTTTTTTTTTTAAATAAGGTTTTGGGACTCTTGAACTGAGGTCTTTCTGGTGGCAGCTAACTCTAGTGTAGTAATCTCTTTTTCATTTTGTTCTACTTTATTCTGTATATCAATAAAGCAGCCTCAGCAAGCAGAGGCAATCAGAAGTATGTAGCAGAAGGCATCTTTTAGGGTGTTGCCACCTTTTTTCCTTGCTTACTGTATTAGGCATGAAGTATTTTTGTTGCATGTTAAATTGCATGATGTTCAAGGCTGTAGAGTGACTGTACAGACTTCGTAACATGTTGGGAGGGGAGACTCAATCAAATGCAGAAACATACTTTTGCTTCCCGTATGTATTTCACGTCTGCTTTCAATTCTAGAATGCAAAAGAACGTTTTACTTGAGTCGTCTTTTTAGATTAATCTTTTCCTCACTCAAACTTTCTTTGCAGGATCCAGTTGTGGTATTGAATGTCCCTTTGGGTGTAATTTCAAGGATTGAAAAAATGGGAGGAGCTTCAAGCAGAGGAGAGAACTCTTATGGATTAGATATAACCTGTAAAGTAAGACTTTCCAATACTTCAATAGGAAATGAAATCTAGAGGTTCCTTTTCTCACTGCTTACCTATTTATAGGAATGAAAAAACACATGTTCCTCACAGCTGAATATAAAAAGAGCTTCTTGGAACTGGACAGGGAAATACCTTTTTGCATAAATGCTATTTAACTGTCCTCTCTGCATGCAAGGGGAGGGATTGGTATTCCTTTCCAAATCACTAATTCACAAGAGGTTTTGCACAGTAGTCTTGTTTTAGGGCATTATTCCTGCATTGCTGTTGTTTCATTTATTCTAAAAGTGATTTTTTTATACTCATAAAATCTTTGAAAAACACCTCCAACAGGGGTTTTGTAAGCTGTAAAGGCAGTGAAGAGCTTATGTAACAGCTATCTCTATTTTCTTTAGTCTCACAAAAAAAATTATGTTGCCATGAAAAAATATGGTCATAGGGGAGTTCCCAGTGGATAATTCAGGATCCTTTGACTCATAATAGAGTATGTATACACATTTGATTCTTAGTAGTTAATGCACAGATTGCTTATTTTTGACGTTAGTGATGAGAAAATAGCTAGGGACAATGCAGTCTAGACAGATTATTGACAAATTTTCATTTTGAAAACATAAGAGTAACTCCCATCCTGCAAACATTCAGTAGCCCACGAGACTTTTTAGTGAATCAGATACAGTCATTTCTGATGGCTTTATGCCAAAGCAGTGTTTGCACCACGCAGAATGTGGTACTGCTTTATTTGTAGAATTCTTATGCTCTATTCCGTTTTATGGGATAAGAAATAAAACTGAACATTCACAATGGTTTGAGTTGTGTTACAAGCAGATTCTAAATCATGTTTAGTGTGTAATACAGCATTTTGTACATCAGATAAAAGTATCTTGCTGCTTTGGTTCACTTAAAAGATAATGCCTTTGTTTTAGGATATGAGAAATTTACGGTTTGCATTAAAACAAGAAGGGCACAGTAGAAGAGATATATTTGAAGTCCTCACAAAATATGCTTTTCCTCAGTCACATAACTTGGTAAGTTAGATCATTTATACTATCGAGTTGTCTTAATGCAGAGTTCTTGCCAATTAACTTTAACTGTTTGACCTACTAATGGGCATCATGGCTGCTTAAAAAGAATAACCACAGAATATGGTGTCAGCATAAACTAAAGAGAATTAATGTTTTTATTTTGTACATTTACAACACTTACACCTATATATTTGTAAAATTATGGATGCTGTATGCTATACTTCAGGTAAACTACTGAGCACCTCTGATCCATACAGATTTCATTGCTTAGAGACTGCAAGTTGTCCTCCCTAATTAGGAAATACAGTAGTACATGCTTTACTTGATTTCTTGAAAATGTTAAAACTATTGAGCAGTCTCCAAGGCAATGATAAATGTGAATCACCAGGAGTTTTGCTTCAGGAAAAGAAGACATGGTAAGACAATGCTTGTTTTATTGGTGAAACTGATGAAAAATATAGCAGGCAGCTAATACAGTAACAAATTTACACAGATTTATTTTGGGTGAAAAAAGCATCTTATGAAAGGAGTTGAGCGACAATGATGTTAAGTAACCATTATCTTCCATTTTTTTTGCCGAAATTTGTGTATTGTGCTTGGTGGATCATTTTGACATCTCTTTAGTAAATGCTTTATTTTGTCTTTCACAAAATTCAGTTTACATTTTATTGGGGTGCTTTCATTTAGGTTAACTGTATAAGAGCTTTCTTCACAAAATGTTGGAGGGTTCTGCTATGTATTTTTAAGAACTTTGGTCAGAGAATTGTTGAGTATATGAGGCTGCAGTAAGAAGGTTATTTCCTTCTCCAAAGATACATATTAATGGGCTATACTCTATAACATTTAATTCTTTACAACTTCCAGAAATTTTGCATTCTGTATACAAACAGTCTGTGGAATGAAAGCATAAGGAAAAATAAATGCTTTTGCTTAGAATGTTTTGTAGTGTTGACGAGTTGGTCTTAGAAATGAGATTGAGATTTCTACATTTGGGTAGGTGTGAGGAGTTGTACTTGCAAAGAAAACTGTTGTAGAAGTGACTATATCTCTAATTCTATTGCTGGCATTTTATGCATCTTACAATAGAGAATGAATGCAGAACAGGATATATGGACTTCAACAGGATGATGGAAAAGAGAGAGAAAGCTATAGGTAGAAATACCAAATTATAGAGAAGTTTAGGTCAAAAGGGGCTTCTGGACATCTGTCCTGGTTTCAGCTGGGATAGAGTTAATTTTCTTCCTAGTAGCAGGCATAGTGCTGTGGTTTGGATTTAGTAGGAGAAGAATGTTGATAACACGCTGATGTTTTTAGTTGTTGCTAAGTACTGCTTATGCTAGGCAAGGACTTTTCAGCTTCCCATGCTCTGCCAGGTGCACGAGAAACTGGGAGGGGGCGCAGCCAGAACAGTCGATCCAAACTGCCCAAAGGGCTATTCCATACCATA